TTTCCGGAGACATGAGGGCTACAGAATGTCCTCCCATGGCTCTGACTTGCAGGGCAGAGCTGGAGAAAGGACGTCACCACCACCCCAGCTGGGAACGGAGGGTGCCGTGTCTCCCATGCGGCCACAAGGTGGCATCCGGGAGGGCCTTCCCGGGCCAGAGCCGGGACTACCTTGAGCTTCAGCGGCCTGGGTGGTGGAGCTTGGGCTTCACTCTGGCTGTAGCACCAGGACCGTCAGATCATGGGTGTAGACTGGGTTCAACTCCACGGAGACCCACGCTGCTCTACAGATGGAGCTGGGAGCGTCTTCCTCCCTGCAGCCAGGCCTCTTGCCCCTCGCTGGTTCCCAGAAATAGCCCAGAGAGCAGGCCGCAGATTGTTCTCTCCTTCACGGGTCACAGGACACACAGCGGTTGGGCTGATGCACGGAGGCTCAGTGATTTGCATATCCGAGGGCTCGTGACTGTTTCCCAGTGGGTGTCAACACGGGTCCTGGAGACCGAGTTCTTAAACCCAAAGGCAAGGTCAGAGCAGGAGAGGTCTAGCCACTTCTACTGGAGAAGCACGGGCAAGGGGCTCGACTCTCACGGGACCGGCCTCTCAGACGTCCTCCTGGAGAACAGCGCTGAGCTTCGCGGTCACCTGCCGCCAGCGAGTGGGCTCGGCTTCGCTGTCCTGCACACACGACAAGCCCGGGATGGGACAGAAGCTGCAGGCCTCAGCAGCCCCAACTGGTGCTTTGGTGATCTGGACAAAGGAAAGAAAGCCTGAGTCCCAGCAAGACAGCCGGTGTTACTGTCCCTCGAGGCAAATTACCTGTCTAAAACCCTAACTAAACACACCACCACCCACAAACCTCTGTTTTATAAAATAAAACAGGGATCTAGAAAAGTGCATGGGTCCAACAAATGACTCAGCCCCCTGGAGCTGCCGGACTCCCCCACACCCACGGGGCTTCCCGTGACGAAACCACCACGGGGGGCTGGGGGTTCTCACTGCGGTTGGGCTGGTCCCACACAGACGCATCCGTATCACAGACCAAGACTCTCAGATGAACCATGAGAATGCTGCCACTAATATGATTATGAAAACCAGAAACTTTTGCGTACGCTGTCCCTGTTTCCCGCCCCGTTTTTGAAAAAGTTGTCTGATACAGACATCGGGCGGTAGCCAACACGTACCCCCCTCTCCCATCTGCGGCCTCGCTGGCCCGAAGGCCCCCCGTCCTCGGTCGCCGCCTGCACCCTGGCACCCTCTCCGGACCTGGCAGGAGGGCGCGCGGCCACCTGACCCCGATGTGCTGTGCTGCCGGCTAGAAATTCCGAGGCTTCCTCTTTCTTTCCTTGAAAATCCCAATTATTCTATTTCTTCCCCCACAAAGCTCAGCCTTTGGGAAGCCTGGTTTCCCCCCGGATGCTTCAGTCTCACCAAAGTATCTCTCGGTACTGGGCTTCCTGCTTCGCTCACCTTCAAGCCGTGTCCCCTTCGACATCTCTTCACCTCTGTCCTTCCTGATTTGTCTGATCTTCCCCTTTGGAGCTTTTCTCTTAGAGCCTGATCTCTTAGAGCATCTTCCACTTTATGTCCTCCTAATTCCATCTGAATTTCTGAAGTGGTTTCATTCATGTCTAATTCTTGTCACTTTGTTTCTGAGCTTTTCTAATACATTCTTTCCTGTCATGTCTACTCTCTTAATGTCTTTGGGTTCCTTAAAAAAAGCCCAAAACACAGACTCTCCCACCCAGAGGACTGGTGGTCGCCAGAGGGGGCGGGGGTGACGAAGCACAAACTTCCAGTCACCAAGTCGGTCAGTCACGGAGACCAGAGGGACCCCGGCACGGGGATGTCAACGGCACCGTGACGATGTGGTGACAGGCGGCGGCCACTCCGGTTGTGGAGAGCACGGAGCCACGCACAGAACCGTGGAATCCGTAGCCGCACCCCCGAAACTAATACAACGTCGCGTGTTTGCTATACTTCAAGGAGAAAAAGAAACCATTTATACATTTGCGGGTTTTGTAGGCACATCTTTCTGGCCTTTCCTTGTCTGTAGGATGCCCTTCTCATTCTCAGCTTTGTATGGACCGGACTTGGATGGTTTTCTGATGCTTATTTTTATGTGAAAGTATGTCATAAACTTTCAGAATGAAAGGGGCTTCAAGAAAGCATTTCTAATTCTACAGAGCGCCCTCTTCTGTCATTTTTGGGAAGTTTAAAAAAATGTGTCCCTTTGCTTCCAGAGCTTTCCCGGCTCCGGCCCTGCTTCAGCCTTCTCTCCCTCGTGTAGGCCCCGTCCTGCTTAGTTTTCATTCCACTCCTGGTGGGTTTCCCTCAGTGTGGGACCCTTCCTGGCAGGGAGCCCCGTCAGGCCGTGCTGGAAGCTCCAAGGGGCCGACCGCCCCACCCCACAGGCCCCTTGCCCAAGGCCCTGGCATCCACCATCAGGAGGGCTTAACCCAGGTCCTGCTCCCGTCCATCAGACTGAACACTGTTGAACACTGGGGCTTATGACTGTTGCTGGTTTGTGCCTCTGTTCGGGGTTTGTGCAGATACCTTATCACCTAGACTGTGAATGCTATCCACAGCGGTTTTTCATTGTGGTAGAAAATAAGTAACAAACGTTGCCATTTTAACCCCTCTTAAGCCCACAATTCAGATGGCTGCAGGTTTGAGGCTTTGCAGTCTAGCTGCTGTTTTTACACAGGATGCCACTACCCTGTTCCCAGAACCCCTGCTTTCCAAAGCCCTTTCAAACAAAACTGATTCACTGGGGAGCGCTGGGGGGCTCAGTCAGTTGAGTGTCTGCCTTTGGCTCAGGCCACGATCCCGAGGTTCTGGGATCTCTGGGATGGAGCCCCACGTCAGGCTCCCCGCTCAGCTGGGGGTCTGCTGCTCCCTCTCCGTCTCCCTCTGCTGCTGTCCCTGCTTGTGCTCTCTCAGTCACTCAAAGTCTTAAAAAAAAAAAAACAAAAACTGATTCATTGGTCTGTCATGACAACATTTTACTGAGAACACCTCTGCCTTGACCGGAGAACTGACAGGCGCCCTGCGGTTGTGCTCAGGTATGAAACGAAGGGATGTGTTTAAGGAGAAATACGTACTCAAGGTTCGGCGGCCCAACAGAACACGGGGACCGTCGTTCAGGACATCCCACTTTCACTACGTTCTGAGACGGCCGAGACAGCAGCAGGTAACACGTGTTTTCTCATGCCGCCACCGTGAGAATCCGATGCTAACCCAACAGCTTGGTGAGAGCAGGCCTGATGGGAGGGCAGGCAGAGAACTCAGAGCCTGAAAGGAACTGGTGTAAACCCTGCCCTTCCTCCGGCAACACGCCGAGGCCTCAGTGAGGCACACAGGTGCTGCTGAGGCGGGAATGACGCACATCACCTCTCTCGCTTGCTGACAAACTCAAACTCAGACTGAGCTACGGATGTGCAGACATCCACGCACCTGCTCACCACCCCACATCTGCTCAGTCCACACTCCAAGGGAGGCTGATGCTTCACATTTCACAGGAAGAAAGAGACATTCTCTTCTTTAAACAGTTCACATTTATTATTGATAACAGTAAAAAAATCTTTTAAAGACTATCAGTATTGTATTACCAAGAGTGAGGTAATATGTTTACAAAACATTTACAGAATTTGATATGCAAATAATGAATTTAGGAAGAAAAGTTAAGACACTAGTAATAGAGGGGAAATCAAAAGAACCCTTAGTGCAGGAGAAAGGTGGTGTGAGAGCGCAGGGCACTGGAAGTAGGGGCAGAGTCTGGGTGCGGGCGCCCGCGGCCCCCTCCAAGGAGAAGCAGGTGCCGTGTCACTCATGAGGAACCCTGCAGGCGTCTGCGCGGTGATGTGCTTTGAACTCTGAGAGACGCATTCAACTCTCTGGGGACAAGACAGTGCCACTTCTGAGCCAACTTAAAACGAACACGTCTTCAGACTGGGGGGGGGGGAATGGCTGCAACTCAAACAGTTCTACAAACATCCCTGGGCTGAGGTGGAGGGAAGCGTTTTCTTGGCAGCTGTCAGCAAAATCGCCATCTGAGACACAGAGAGAGAGAGAAAGAAAGAGAAGGAAGGGACCATCTTCAGGTCCTTATAATTTAGAAGCAGGAAGCACTGATCGGAAGCAGCACAGGTGCACTAACCAACCCTACTGTGCTTTCTGGAAACAAGGCTTTAGGTGCCAATGGCGAGGGTATCTTTTCAAAGGCCACACACTCCGGGAAGGCCGGCAACCACGGAGAAGCCCAGTCTTCAGTTGTGCGGGCCGCCTTGGGGGCCTCCCTGACCCGGCGTTCCTCACGAGCCCACTGGGGCTCGCCCGCGGGGCCCACACCTGTCCACCCTGCAGCCACCCACCTCGGGCCTCGAGAGCGGATGGCAAGCAACGCTGCCCAGGCTTCTGTGCTTCTCACACCTGCCGCTAACGGCCACGTGGGCTGTGGCACATATCTTTAAAAACACAGCCTCTTCCAACACACGACACCACACGTCACATCCTTATCACAAACGCTGACCCTACGCAACATCCAGACAGATTCGCAAATGACCTGCTTTTCCCATAAAAAGCTGAAAAAAACATGGGCCAACACAAGAATTGGGAATCAAAAACAAAACAAGGAAGGCAAACCAAGCTCATACTCTGATTTGCTTCGAAGAAGAATCCCTTGTAACTTATCTCACTTTCTACTTGCCCCATTTCTCACCAACACCACACTGATGCCCACCCCCACCCCCACGCACCCCATACTCACGTGCCCCCCACTGCCACACTTGCACACACGTGCCACACACATTGTCACGCTCACCCACGTGTGCCCCCACGCACTGCCACCCGCTCTAAACACCGCCCCACGCGCTGCCTCACTCACACGCGTGTGCCCCCACTGCCGTGCACACCCCCCACATGTCGGCAATGTCCTTCTATGAAGCAGCGGGGCTCCTGTAAGCCGCACGCTCTCCTGGAGCGGCCGCATGGCAAGAACACTCATCAGCGCAGATGGACACTGGACAACTTCAAAACGGCAAACGTGACTGAGTCGTCACGACAGCCTTCTAGTGACTAGAAAGACCGCATGGGCTCTGACGCTATCAAACTAAGAGGAGGCAGAGGGGACCTAAGTCTAGAGTGAGTTCAGAACTAGCACTTGCAGGTAAGAACATACCAGAAGGAAAAGGGAAAGAATCCCTTCCGCGCGAGTTCACATACAGAAAAATCCTGCTCTGAAAGTACCAAAAAGATGTGGAAAGGAGGAAAGAGAAGCTGTTTAATGGTGGTGGTGCTCTCCTGGCGCCGTGGGGGGCGTCCCCAAGAGCCCCCGGGCCCACCCGCACCCACTGCAGGACAACGGGTCACCCGCCCGCGGGGCCCAAGCGAGGTGCTCCTGCAGGCTGCCCCCAAGTGCTCCCCATGGAAGCAGCACTGCTCGAAGGACAGGTGCCTAGTGGGCGGCCCCTCGATCTGTGGGCCGTGCCGGCTAACAGCAGAGGGTGACACTGTGACGTGGTGTGGGGACGAGCTGGTGGTTCCTGCCCCGTGTAGGAAGGTGGGTCACCTCTGAAGGATGGTGTAGGAATTCATCCGCTAACGGACAGGGTGTGGAGGTTGCTGGAAACATTTTTTGCATCAACATTTGAGACGAAGTCAACCTCTTAATTGTATATAAACTACTTTTCTTTCAAGAGAGCCCTTGTGCTCTGGTTTGATTTTGTGCACACTGTATACAAAATCTATGGCTATGGAGTTAGAGTTACAACTACCTGTCGAGATAGTCTGGGATCAAGCACTACATGTGCCATCTGGAGAGCTATCTGCTACCTAGAGGGTGAGAAGTCTGCACAGTGTGGCCGCCGGGCGGGTGGCGGAACGCGGCAGGCTGTCCGAGGAGGCGCGCTGTCCCCTCCGCGCCCTGGGCACGGGCGCTGCGGCACTACCTGGAAATCATGGAGCTGGACTGAGACTGGCTGGAGGAGGTGGTGGCGGCGCTCAGCTGGGAGAACCCGCTGTGGCTGGACTCCAGGCTGGTCATAGAGCCTCTGCAAACAGCACCGGGAGAGGCGAGGCGTGAGAACCCCACTGCGGGCCGCCCTCGTTCCCCGCGGCCCACTCGGCCCCCACAGCACTCACAAAGCAGGCTCTCCCAGAACCGTGGCTCCCTGCTGGCCCGGCCCACAGATGACGTCATCAGCCGGCCACAACAGATGGCCCAAAGGCCACTCCCACCCGCCCCCGAGCACCACCGTCCTTGCGGAGCCCCCCTGCCCACACCCGTGGTGCTGCGGTGGCCCTGGGGGTGGGGAGCCCGTACCGGAAATCCTCGGAGCCGATCACTTCGGTGTAGTACATCACTTTGCACTTGTGGGATGACACCTGCAGGGAGGCCAGCACATCGTCCACCCGGGGCAGGTTGGTGGCGGCGCACGCGGGCATGCTGTGGAATCTCCACTGCAGGATGTAGAAGCCCGGCCATCTTGTCACGTGTGAGCCCTGGAACGAGTCAGGCACCACCGCCTGAGAACTTACTTCCAAGCCCCTACCTTCCGTGGGCCCTGGCGGACACCACCTGTGGGCTTCCCCGGGCCTACTCAGATTCAGCAGCGACGGCCGGCCACCTCCGTGGCTGGAGGACCGACTCCTCGCTCAGGGGCCAGTCCCATGCGGCCTCCGGCCCTGCAGCGAGGCCCCTCCCAAGAGCTGCGCAGGCCTCGGGGAGGGGCTCTCCGTGTCTGCCCACCCCAGGGACTTGCAGCTTTCGGGGGGGAGGGGGCAAGGCCACAACAGAAGCAGGCGCCTGGAGAGGCGGGATGAGAGAGCTCAGGGGGCCCTTCATTCAGCCTTAAGGGCGTCAAGAAAGATCATCTGACCAGGCAGTGCTCTCCTGGACCTGCTTCCAATGATCTTACTAGAGCATTCTGGATAAAAGGATGGCAATCTGAAGTACAATGTCAACCTATGAAAATTACTTTCTTCATTTAATTCTGAAGCTTAAACCATCCATTACTTTTAAAACTAAATAAAATACTCTCTTTTATTCTACTTCTCAGACCACCAAACACTGACAGGCTCATCCCTGAAAACTGTAAAGGCAGCAAAATTATGCATCTATTATGCAGGCCAGAAGCACCCAAGAGCCTCCGTTCTTAGTACAAGCACTCAAAATAACTGGCCAAAATGTGAAAAATGAACTGACAAGAGCATTTTTAAATGAATGAGAATGCTCAGTAATGACAGCTAACAGCTCCCTCAGCACTTGCTTGTCTCCCTGCTATTTGGGGTGACTGTCCTCTCGGTGAAGTCTGGATCCCAGCTGCCCACGGGTACTGAATGCCTCGCCCTTCCTTCCACGTTGCTCTTGTGAAACTAACTTCTGAAGAAAACTCATGCACTTTAGATAAAAGTTATGGATTCATTCCAAAACCCCTGCTCAGGGCTGAGTTCCTTCTCTTCAGAGTCTCACTGGGGCTTCCTGGGTCACTCTCACCGTAACTGATGCCGCACACCCCTGCGGGCTCCCCGCAGACAGACAGTGCCACCACGCAGGACAGCAATGAAGCAAAAGACCCTTCTTTTTGAAGACAAAATACCCAAGCTGTAGAGAGTCACAGATGGCTCTACCTGCACGCTTTCCCCTTCTTTGCAGATCAGAGGTGACTCCACCATGCTGTAGTCACGGCCCAGCTGCCAGACTCTGTCTATTAGCTGCACGTTGTTCCCTCCTGGGGAAGTAATGCTGTGTGCCCCCAGGGAGTCCTTTTTGGGAGGCTGGGGCGACCTCTTGGAGTGGTAGATGTTGAAGACAATGTCCCCTTTGCACACGTCAAAATCCCAAGTGATCACTGAAGAGGCGTCCACAATCTGAATGAGGATCTGGAAAAAGAGAGTGCATTAAGCAACCAAGGTAAGCACGAGCCCCCCAGTCCCGTGCCGACACCGTGGCAGCTTCGTCCTTGGGGGAGCTTCTGGGCCCAGCCGTGTGTGTTGTGGGAGGGAGGGAGACATGTCCCATCAACTGTGTCCTCACCCGCACCCACCGTTCTGCCACCCAGCTTTTCCTGCTCTCCCTCCTCCCAACCTTCCTGCTCCGTGTCACGTGCCAAGCTCTGTGCTCTCCCTTAGCTGCACCTACAGCCCAGACTTCCCACTGCACGATCCGTAGCACTCGGACACACTGGCTCCTGGCTGTAAAAATGCCTTCACAACACAGAGCAGAAGTGACTCAAGATGGTACAGAAGTGGTTCCATGGATTGTTCTAGGTGGATGAGCACAAGGATAGTCCCAGAGAAGGTGGGAGCTAAATAAAGGGCACATGGAAGAACAGGAGGAAGCGTTCCGGGCAGGCGGAGGGGACAGACTCTCAAGGAACAGTGGCAGCGTGGGGAGAAAAGAGCCACGTGGCCCGGGGCGAAGGAGGGGCCGCGGCCCCGGGGAATGAGTGCCAACCCGAAACCCAAACTTCCTAACAGAGCCCCTGGAAGGGTTTGCAGCAGGGAATGATCAAAGTCAGAGAGAGAGTTTGAAACATTACTGTGGGAGGGATGTGAGAACTGAACCCAGCTGTGAGACCTCAGTGGAGGCCGTGCCCCCCTGTGAGACCCGTCTGGCTGCTTGCTCTTCGGCGCTCGGCCGCCTGTCGTCAGTCAGGCAGACTCCTCGATTCCACCACTGCTACTTCTCACCACACAGACACCAACTCGGAATCTCCCTGAAGAGCAGACTCCCCGGAGCACAAGAGTCCTGTCTGGGAATAGCGACGGTCCTTCCGCAGCACAGTGGCTCCCCAAGGGCTGAGACCTCCCGGGATGCAGCCCCCTCTGCTGACAGGCACCTTCCTTCCTGCACTTACCATGGGGACACTGAATTCAGCCTTTATTTCAGGGCTCTTGTGTCCCTGATTTGTGTTTTACTTCACCCCCAAAGCAGGGTTTAGCATTCTGATGTAGAAAACTTTCACATTTCACAGATACCCTGTGACGCACGAGAAACGTCCTATGCCACGGAGTTCCCTACCAGAGACAAGAGCGAGTTACCTGAGAGAAATAAGAACTCCACCTCCTCAAGCCTGGTCTCCTAATAAGGAATTAATATAAATAATCCTCAAGACATAGTCATGAAAATCTGAGACTTCCCCTGCAGAATCTACGCATGAGGCAGACCAAATCTGCCTCTACTTGTTCAAACGCAGCAACAGCACCCACCTGCCCCACGAGGGACGGGCCGGCCATGCGAGAACACAGGCCAGCAAGGACGAATGGCGGATGGCAATAAGGGGTCAGCTCCCGGCTACACCACCAGCAGCCTGAGCCCAGCACCCCTGCGCACCCAACGCTGGCTCGGTGCCCAGCGCCCCTGCGCACCCAACGCTGGCTCGGTGCCCAGCGCCCCCGTCCTCAGCAACAACCCCTGAGGCACAAACATATCTGCCCAGAGCTCAGGAAAGGTGCCTTGGTTGTGAGCCCTCACCGCTCAGACCACTCACGATGTCACAGGACACACAGCATTTGCAAAACCCAGGAATACTCCTGCTTCCACACCCAGTGTGACAGCAAGAAGGGAAAACAGAAATGTGCTACTTTCTCCTCACTCCGTATGACTTACAAAAATGTGCAAATCCCTTAACAAATGTAAATAACCAAAGCCCGGTCACGAAAAAACAGAAAATGAAACCAGCCCTATGTAATCGTTAGATAAACTAGATTTCAGAGTCAACAATCTTCCACAGGAAAACCCTTCCACACGCGACTCATCCCTGGGCTCAGGGGCCTCTGGTAAAGGCAGAGGCCAGGAGGCCTAACCTCCTTCCAGGAGCAGATCCCTTGAGATGCCTGTACGTCAGTGCAGACTTTTACCTCAACTAAAGATCTGAAAAAACAACAACAACAACAAAAATCTAAAGACAAAGACCAGAAAAACCATTTGATTTTTCTAAAGTAAATCCTGTTGGGAAGACCCGCCGAAGAAAGTGTCTGTCGGGAGAAGGGGCCCCGCCACCCCGGGCCCTGGGTGCGGGCGGTGCACCTCATGCGGGGCTCCTTTGAAGACGCTTGCAGACTGGTAGATGGTCTCGGTCCAGAGCCTGAGGTCTTCGTTCTCCAGCTCCTCTGCAGTCCTGTACAGAGACTTGGGGACCAGTCCGCCCTCGGGCACTTCACACTGGAAACACAAACACAGCAGTAAAAGCTGTGCACACAGAAGGGACCCCCTGAAAGCCGACACTCCGCTGCTTAGGGAATGGAACACACTGGCAATGTCCAACAGCTTCTGCATGACTCAGCAATGTAAATTTTTAAAACCTCTTAAATCTACCTGTCTTAGTTTAACTAAATGAGAACATGTTGAAGCTAATTTACCACAGAATTTACACTACTAAGTGTGAGGTGCTGGACCCCATTAGGAACTCTAGTTCTTGGAAGAATTACAAGCAGTTACACTGTACTGTAAAGAGAAAACATGGTATGGAGAAAAGTTTTATTCTCAGCAACTACAGGCTGGGTTGAATTAAAATCTATATACTTCATACATTTCCTAGTTGACCTTGACCTAGTGACTCAATACTGAAGTTCACAGAATCCCAGCACCTCTTGCACTACCGGCCCTGGGAGGCAGCGACCCAGAGACAGTCTCCAGTGGAAGACCTCAGACGGACCCGGAGCAGGGAAGCAGGGAGCACAGGAGAGCCGAGAAGAGCCTGGACCCACGGACGAATGAGGAGGACTCTCACAGTGGGGAGCACATCAGGGTCGGTCCAATGTGCTGTGAGTCAGGTCTCCTTCTGCTCCAGCTCGCCGTCAGAAGGACCAAGCACTTGGGACCGTTCGTAATGGGAGCTGTCTGTGGGTCGCTACACAGCGGACCTCCCGGTTTAATCTCATGGCCCTCGGTGAGGGAGGGGCCGGCAACTCCCTGGCAACCTGGTACCACGCCGTGCTGATGCCTGCAGTTCTTGACAGCAGGACCGAGGCCCTGAAAGCTGAATCCGGATGCTGTTCAAACTCCTCTAACCAACCCGAGACTCCCCTGAAAACCGGGTTCATTAGGTAAATACGTGCATCAAATCCAGTGTGTACACATCTCAGAAGGACAACTCTATTTTCTATGAGGATGATAGAGATCCTTTCTCTAAGGAGAACCACACTCCCCTCTGGCTTCTGCTGTCACTTCAGGAAGCCGCCTGGGCCTCTGCAGCCTTTGGTCTCCCTTGCCCGGTGTCAGACGGGCACGCCCTGCGGGCGGTAAGGTCCTCAAGGACCCCTCATCACAGTTCAGGGCATAGAAGTGGACATGGCTGCCTGATACCCTAGCAACGCCATGTATCAAAAACCCCAGATTACGAAAGTATTTCCCTTAATGTGTCCCCTTCAAAATGTTATCCTTATTTATTGTCAAGGAGGAGATCTTGCAGAATCACTTTGAGTTTTTTAAAACTGTTTCTATAAAATGCATAGCTCTTCAAAATAGTTATAAGAAATCTGATCCACACAAAGCTGAGTGAATAAAGCAAGCTGCAATTATATTAGGTTCTAAAACAAATTCTCATTAGCATGTAACAATGAAGAAACGTGCATTTGTCAACCATTACCTAAACGGTTCTATGTAGTTTAACCCTGGGTCAGAAAAATGTCAGCAAAATAAAGAAAAACAAAACAAAACAAAAAACAATAATCCAAACTAAAAGTTCTGAAAATCATTTGTACCAACCAACACCCACCTTTCCTACCCCTGTGAAGCAGCCAAATGTACAGCTGCTTGCCTAAATACATACCATACACTCCCCGCTCAGGAAATCTGGAATAATCTCTTTATCAATGTAGTCCAGCAGGCCTCCAGGACCCTGGTAGTCATTTCCGGCATAAATCAGGAATTTCCTTCTGGTGTTGTCATCGATGAATGGACTAACCTGTAAGTAACGAGGAAGGACCACGTGGTCATTTTGCTTTGCTGTCTGATTTCCAAGGATTAAAATTACCGTGTGACAGTATGAGTGGGTGGGTGGGGGTAGGGGCAGGAAGCGTGATACACTTTTTCCGTAAAGTCTATCTGCGTGACAAAAGGACTCTCATGAATTCTTCCTCCCCTTAAATTATTTGAGAAAGTGTGTATCTTCCCACATTTGTTATTTCCTGACTAGTTCAGACGAACAGACACGGGCATACGAACGCACACCTCTCCACCTTCTGAATGGCCAATCGCTTCCCCAAACCAGCACCCACACCCACCAGCGTCCAGAGGACAGGGAACACACGGGGAGCGCGAAGAATGAGGAGGCGGCCGAGCGTCTCAGGGTAGTTGGCCTCCACCACCTCTATGATGCGCAGCAAGGCCTTGACGCCGGGTCTCCACAGGTGGCGCATGTTCAGTCCCTCCAGGTCCACCAGGCAGGTCCATGAACTGCAGGGGTGCAGACATGTGAGCTACTCGCTAGACATGGCACGCGTGCAAACCACGTCCTAAGCTATCTTCTTCTGGCTATTACAAAACCATCATTTATATCCATTTCCAAAAATATACCAGTTTCTAAAAATTAAAGTGTTATGAACTGTATTTCTATCTACTTGTATGAAGCATACAGGATCAGTGTGGTAGGACCAATCCCTGGAATAGCAAAACCTCAATGGCTAATTGACAATTAATAACCACCTCATTCGGACCTGCTCGTGACCCAGCAAACAAGGTGACACGCTGGGCTTGACATGCTGGGCCACCTCCACAGACCTAACAGGGCAGGAATCTGGCTTTTTAACGCACGGTGTGACTGAACTTCAAGAAGCTTTTCTTCAACAAATACCCACTAACCCAGCAGTGTCTCAGGAGCTGACAATACAGCAGGGAACAGAAAACCCTCAAAACTCCTTCCTGTCAATTCTTAATCTCAGGAAACAAACTGAGGGTTGCTGGAGTGGTGGGGGGGTGGGAGGGATGGGGTGGCTGGGTGATAGACATTGGGGAGGGTATGTGCTATGGTGAGCCCTGTGAATTGTGCAAGACTGTTGAATCACAGATCTGTACCTCTGAAACAAATAATGCAATATATGTAAAAAAAAAAAAAAGAAGAAGATAGCAGGAGGGGAAGAATGAAGGGGAGTAAGTCGGAGGGGGAGACGAACCATGAGAGACAATGGACTCTGAAAAACAAACTGAGGATTCTAGAGGGGAGGGGGTGGGGGGATGGGTTAGCCTGGGGACGGGTATTAAAGAGGGCACGTTCTGCGTGGAGCACTGGTGTTATGCACAAACAATGAATCATGGAACACTACATCAAAAACTAATGATGTAATGTATGGTGATTAACATAACAATAAAAATTTAAAGAAAAAAGAAAAAAAAAAGAACTCCTTCCTGTCATGGTGGAACTTCCATACCAGTAAACCCGCTATGCCCTTCTAGTGTCCACCTCTGAACCACTGCACATTTTCCAAATAGTTTACCATAACTACAAGTATGGTTTAGAAATACAGAATAATTTCCTTGTGCCCCTGCAACTAAAACAAACGAACAAAACCAACCTGCGACCCTGGGCTCCCAAGGACCATGCAGACTAACAAGACAGGCCGACCCACTCAGACTGAGGTGACAACAAAGTCTCACGCAGGGTCAGAAATACCAAAATCCAGCACCTATCCCTCCCAACTGACCGAATTTCATGTTATTTATCTTCTACCTTCTGGAACACTGCAAAAAATGGGAAGCTATTTAGATTTGGCTCTAGAAATCTAAAAGCCTAAAGATCAAACCAGATTTTGGTCCTAAAAGTCAACTAGAAATATTTACCTCACACTCTCAATAAGCTGGAAGGAAAAACAAAACCAACATCTACCTGATAGGTCGACCAAAGACTTTTGTATTTTCTTCACACCGTCTCAGCCCTTCTTCGTTTATGGAGAGAACCTGTGTGTAAAATGGCCATAAAAAGCCCATGATTAGTCTAAGCAACGCCACTGTGTCAAGCTATGAAACAAAGAGACAGTAATACAGCCCACTGAGTGGGGAAGGGAGCCTGACGCAGGGCTCGATCCCAGGACCCTGGGATCATGACCTGAGCCGAAGGCAGACGCTTAACCGACTGAGCCACCCAGGCGCCCGTTTGTTTGGTTTTTAATTTAAGCACATTCTTCTCTTCATAACTGCCCATGCTATGGAGGCCGAAGTGGAAGGGGAACCGGGAGGAGGCATTTATAACCGCCCAGATAAGAGATGTGAAGACCTGCGAGTAAGGAAGTGCCGGGAAAAGAATATTCTGAAGCGGTCTGATCCGAGAGACAGCTCAAAAGGAGAGTGGGGGGCAGGGGGGGGACCATGGCAATGAAACAAGAAGACCCCAAATCGGTCCCCACAAAGTCATCTTGAGTGGCTATACAGATATTTTTGTTGATGCTTCCCTGTGAAAAACATTTTTATAATTTCCGTGCCATCTTTTGAAATTTTAAAAATATATTAATAGATTGGCCTAATTACAAAAGCACTGCATGCTTGCTCTAATAGCTGTAAGATCACCACCCTGCTGGCAAAGAAGGGGGCAGCGACCTCTGCAGGAAGCACTTACGTATCGCAGCAGAGCCTCCTCCCCGAGGGCTCTCACCAAGCCCTTGGTGTCCATCTGCCCCAGCCTGAGAACGTACAGTGGCCGCCCATCTGCGGGAGGGGAAGCAAAGGTATGATCAGCACCATTCCTGATGAGAAGCTGACAGTACAACTCTAGGAACCTTAACAAGGAGCGTGCTTTCCCACTTAGAAGCTGCAGCTGGCTATGTGTACAGGAGATTCCCCCCAACCACTGCCCCTCTGCCCAGGATGAGAGGCACCAAGTGCAACTCAACCTCTCATCTGGCTCCAACCACCGGTACCGACCGGGGCCATTGCTAGGCTCGGCCTCCTCACTTAAACAACCAGGGGTTTGAGCAGAGCTGACTTTCAAGCCGGGGGACTTCAGAAGATCCAGAGACACATTTTCTGTGAATATGGAGTATTTTAAAATTTTGTATCTTAGAGAAAACAATTTTTTTTTCATTTCATGAATTATCAGTAAGTTAATGTCTAGATTTTTTTAAAAAAGTCAGCTTCCCTTGATTCCCATCCAAAGGATCAGAATAAATGAGTCCTTCCAGGAAATTTTTAAATCCATCCCAACCAGCACATCTTGGCTCCTACATGTTTATACCCCGAAGGTCTAATGGATGAAACCTGAGCGGAATCTCATTCACTATACAAATGCCCTGTCATCACAGGCCAGCTACATAAAGGGGAAAAGATCTCGATGGCCACAGCGTCCCCTTGAGTCAGCAGATTCTCTAGAATCTGGACTCCTGACAATTGGTGTCACAGGCGAGCAGCAGAAAGGATAGGAACGGAAGCTGCTGCTGACAAGCAACTAAGACTTGTCTTCTGTTAATGGAGGGTCAGTCCTGTCATCCTGACAAAGAAGTCCAAATTTTCCTTGTATTTATCACCCGGTCTGAACTAGATCTGTTCTACTTAAAACAAGAATGTCTTTATGCTCCCAAATCTTGTTGAAAGGAAGATTTATGAAAAGTGTCTCCTGACATTTGTAAGACATATTTGTTAATATTTCACTACCAAACTTTAATCTTTGAAAGGTGGGAAAGTCGAATAAATATATGTTGCTAGCAAAAACGAACAGAGCTACAATTAGTCTGGAAAAGTACAAAAGATGCAGTCCAGAAAACAGACAAATCCGAGCTGTCGCATCCTGGAAGAATCTGCTTCGAGGGGGAGGGAGCCCACGGCCATCCCTGTGCCTGCTCCACACCCACGGTTCCGTTCTGTCCACTGTCCAACTCCAAACCAGGAAATACCGAGCATGCCTCTGGCAATGCCCGCTTTCCTGCAGGGCGTGCCTTGGATGCAATCCGAGAGAACCCTGCTCACTTAGCTTACCCTTCGTTTTATGCTATCACTTCCTTGGCTTATGTTTTGCTTCCTGCCCAAAACAGAGCTGAAGTTCTTCACTGTTTCGATGTAGAAAACCTGGCTACATATTGTTACAGATCTTGTAGGGATTTAAGTTATTAAAAGTTCCTTTACTAGCACTGTGCTCCTGAAAACACTGCCCTCAAACTTGTGGGTTTCTTAAGTAAGTCAAAACAAAGTCTTTGTGACTAAGAAAGGAGGTGAAGAAACTTGGTGGCCAAGGGGCCATGAGCCGAGAGAAGGAGCAGACAGCCTGCACCTGCTGCTCTATGGGGGACCTCAGTGGGCTTCCGAATGGGCAGGGTGGTGTGGGGCTGGTCGTGATGAATGGGCGCCACCCTGGGAGAGGGAGGGCCCAGGCATTCACGGGTCCCTTCAACTCTGCACAACGTGGCCTTGAAGCATGTCCGGGATGCCCAGCCCACCTTTGTCATGATGGTGCCAGCCTCCCGCGTAGTAGTCCTGAAGGACCTGGGGAGGGCTCCAGGTCTCGAGAATGTAGTCGACCTGGTGCTGCTTTCGCCAAGTCAAAGACTGACACATGATCTCTCTGGCTTTGTCGATATTGAAATCCCGGGCGCGTAAGAACCGAAGAATATGCTCATCTTTTGGGATCTATTAAGAGAAAAAGATGTTTCTAAGCAGTGTTAAAAGTTGCTAAGGGGAAAAAAAAACCAAGTTACTAAGGGAATAAAACTCTAAAACTGTCACTTCTCATCCAGAGGGAGCTGCATTTTTGCACTATTTAAAATTAGCCGTTACTAAAAAAACCTTCCTCAATGCTTTAGAAAACTGGTATCATTAAACTGAATAATCTTTATAGTATTCCATTTTAGTTTCAGCCAAGTAGAGCAAAGGCATAAACAATTTGTTAAACATCAGATGCTTCAATTCACTGGACTGATTTATGATTATGATCTGGGTGCACTTTTCTATATTACACCAGAACAAAAGTTCGAATACAGAAGTGTTGTTGGTTTTGGTGCGGGGGGGGGGGGGCCTTCCTAACACACACCTCCTCTAAAGTCTGCTATCGGATACGCCGACTTCTCTGAGTGAAAAAGAAGTCTCATCTGGCCTGGCCGTCTTCCTCTGCGGCCATGCGCTCACTGATGCACGCCGCTGGTCCACAGGGGACAGGAAGGCGGCGGGTGGGGAGCCTGCCAACAACCCCACTGCCGGGAGAGCAACTCAAGGCACTCAGAGGGTGTCGCTGCCCTCAGAAAGGATGTGGGTGCCGGAAGCAAAGGGCCTGGCTTCAAATCCTCACCCCAGCACTCACTCGCTGGAAGGCCTCAGGCAAGTGACCTCACTGCTCTGTGCCTCAGTTCCCTCACATGATAAAAACACCACCTCAGAGGGCTGCTGGAGGACCTCATAAAGACCCTAAGAGCGTCTAGTACACAGTGCATGCACAACAAATGACAGCCATCACTACAATGGTTGTGCTCCCGACAAGTGACACTAAACAGTCCTCAGGATGTGGCTCTAGTAACCCAGGCGGACAGAGTTCTAGAGCGGGCCGGCTCCATGCAACCCCGGCTTCCCTTTACTGAGTGGTGCCAGTACCCAGCTGGACACGCCAACCTGCCTGTGCTCACCACTCGCCCCCCATCAGTATGAGGCTTAGTATGAGAAAAACGGGATTCCTTAACAAGGCTAAAATTCTACCAAAAACCTCAAAATGAAAGCTCAAACACTGCTGGTCTTGGAATAATCTGTGGACTCCTTCCAAAGCTTCTGATAATTAAAATGTCTGAATACTTGGGGGCGCCTGGGTGGCTGAGTCAGTTGAGCGTCTGACTCTTGGTTTCGGCTCAGGTTGTGACCTCAGGGTCGTGGGATCGAGCCCCGCACGGAGCTCCCGGCGCAGCAGGGCGTCTGCTGGATACTCTCTCCCTCTTCGCCCTCTACCCCTGCCCCTGCTCTATCTAAAATAAATAAATAAATACATATTTTTTAAAAAGTCTGAATACTTGGAATATAATATTGCTTTGTAGCTTGACCTGTAATTGTTTTTACGGGAGACCCTCCTCTGGTAAACCTAGAAAAGCACAGCTGATTGTACATAGAAGGGCATCACGACTCTCCACGAGGGACTCAGATGCCACACCCAGAGATACAGAGCCAGTGATGCTGGGGCTGAGAGGGACGTCCCCAGCTATGGCGATCGGGAACATGTACTCTGAGTAACTACGAACAGGACCAGGGTCCACAGCTCCACAGACAGCACGCCTGTACACGGGTGCCGGTTCTCACTTTGCCCTTGTGGGTCTCCTGGAGCCACTGGCGAAGCCGGATCAAGCAGCTCTCCTGTAGCGGGGTCAAGTCACCCAGGTATCTCTTGATGTAGTCCGCATCTAGTTTGTCTGGAATGTAAGTTACATGACGACATTTACACAAAGAACACTGGAACGTGAAGGTTTCCAAAGTCATCCTGCTCAGTAACGTTAAGTGTGGTCCCCAAGTCACAGAACTCAATGACACCCCAGGGACAGCAGAGCTAAGCTTGCCCCCTCGAGACCCTCAGTGATAGTCTGTAAGAGCTAATCACTGACCAGGCCCCAGGCCAGGCTACTGATTCAGTTATATTCCCTGATCACCCTGTGGTCAACTCTATTTGCAAAGTCTTAATAGTAGTCACGGCAGAAGAAAATCTGTAACAGATATTGAGAGATTATTTTAATTCAAACTTAAACAGGACCTACATAAGACTATGAAATAAAACAAATATGTGAACTTAAACCTATTCTGAATAGAGCTACTGTACTCAAGAATATAAGAAATCTTCTTCTTCGTGATGGGGTACCATAAATACAGCAAACATTCACGAGACGGAAAAATAAAACGTGTCCCCAAACCAATTAAAACACCTGTCACCTGCTGCCTACTGCACGGCAAACGGATGGCATAGTTTAGCTGCAGAGAAGAAAGTGTGGAAAGAGAGACAGCAATACTTTAACAAAACTTGTGAGTGGTAGAATCTTCTTGTGTGGTTTTACAATGGGCATCACTCTGAGAAATAAAAAAGGTGCGCGTGCGCGTGTGTGTGCGCAACACACATGAAAGGCAGCACAGCACGGCGGCTACGTGCAGACCCTGGCGCCAGCCGCCCTAGCTCCGTCCCAGCGCCACCACCTGCCACTGGGACTCCAGGCCAGTTACTCAGCTCCTGTGGGCCTCAGTTCACTCATACATAAAAGGAGGGTAATAAGCACTTCGTACCAAGAAGGAACCACTGTTAAGTGAGTAAATAAATACTCATTAAGTGCTTACAACAGGGCCTAGCACAGAGTGAGTATGAAGTGTTTGATGGTGACACAACTGTGTTAAAACGATTAGTTGCTACCTTTCATTCACTAAAGATGCCTTCAATTCAAATAAATGAAACACATTTCCTGGTTTCAAGAAAAAAGTAACTTGATATAACCCTTCCTGCCCATTAAAAAAAACTAAATGCTTCCTCATTCTAAGAAAAAAATAAAACGTGGAAAAGGGACAGTAACAAAATTATCTCCACGTGTCCTCAGGACACAAGAATGGGTGGAGGAAGCAGAGGGGAAAGGGCTCCATGGAGGCCCCAGCCTTGCTCGTGGAACGACCCTCTTTCCGACCCACCGTCAGGGGTCCCCGCCACGGGCTCGGGTGGCCCACTGGGGCTGCTGAGGGCCTCACTGCCCAGCCCCTCCGCCTGGGCAGCATCTGGAACCACAAGAGCCAAGGATGCTGCCTGTTTCTTGCACAATGAGGATGTCTCTGAGGACGGAGCAATGGAAGGCGGAGTCCAGCGGGGCACGAACGTTATGCCTTCTTCTTCCAACTGACGAAGATAGTATTCAATTATTTCTTTTCCCTTTAAAACAAAACCAATTTTAAGGTTAGTAGATATTCAACATTCAAATTATTCATCTCCCACAGGTCTTTAAAACACTAATAAAAACTGAATTGCTACAGAATAAATCTATAAAAAAGTGAAATGCCTTTGTGTTTCTGTTTTTCATAATTATTTTACTTCCTCTTCTCCAATGGTCTAGGAAATAATATCTAAAGAGACGGAATTTTTTTTATGACTAATTAAAAGCACTGATTCATCACACTTGTACTCAATTAATGCTCTGTGTCTCAATCCAAATTCTTTCTAACACCCTGAAATAAAACAAGCCTTCAAAAAGCACTTAGAATCCAACATGGATACACTTCACAATCATATTCCATACCAACACTGAGCAGCAGCATAAAAATGAGAAGGAAAGTGGAGTGCCTGGGGGGGCTCAGTCAGTTAAGCGTCCGATTCTTGGTTTCAGCTCAGGTCATGATGTCAGGGTTGTGAGATCGAGCCCCACATCAGGCTTCGCACTCAGCAGAGAGTCTGCTTAAGATTCTCCTTCTCCCTCTGTGTCTTCCCACTGCGCTCATGCACTCTCTCTCTCTCCCCCTCCCTCTCAAATAAATCTTTAAAAAAAAAAAAAATGAGAAGGGAAGTTCTTCCACAGAAGGTGAACCTAATAATCCAAGGCCTGGGGCTCCCCAAGGGATCCCCGGCAAGCGCCTCCTCATGCAGCACCTCCTGCCCACAGACCCTGAGGTGGCAGCTGGGGGCGCTGTAAGCCAGCTGCTCCTGCCTCACCCCCCCCACCCCCCAACCCCAATCTTCCAGTGATTCTAAGCAGAGGGGGTCCTGGCCAGTGGCTACATGCTCCTCCTTACCTCCACCAGCCACCAGCATCATCTGAACCCCCATCCAGCCCTACACCTCCCCAGAACACAAGGCTTGGGGAAAAGCCAAAGTATTTCCTTGTCTTGAAATGGCTGGGCTCCCTGACTAGCCCATTTCCAGCCCCCTGAAAACACTGCCAGCACCTCAGAGGCTCCTGCCTTCCCATTTCCATAAAATCCCAAGCTAGACTCACTTTTTTAATGTTGCTGGTATATTGTTTCATTGCAATTTTTTCCACTGTACTTTCAAAACCAAAGAAAGATTTAATATCTAAACTTGCAGACTGTTCAAAACAAGTCCAATCTTCATTTTCAGGGTGAACCTGTAGATAAATGAGAAATCATTCCCATTAACTATGCTGACAACTGACAAGGTCATTTGCTCCTCCATCAAGTGGTAACCAAAAGAAAACATTTTATTTGACTAATAATATTATCATGAAAGCACCAGATGGAAAAATTACACAGAGAGGTTTAAAATCATGAAAAGACCTAAATAATATTTCTAAAATAGTCTAAAAAAAAATTCTAAAAATGACTGTGAAAAGGAGAGCTTCATTTTCTTTCTTGGTTCATTTGTTCATCACATTTATTGAGCAGTGTTCTCCATCATAAACAAAACAAAGATCTCTGCCTCATGAAGCTTACAGTCTGAAGGGGGAGAATGGCCATTAGCCATGAACATCAGAGGTAAGAAATTCTGTCGTTGTTGGAAGACAAGTGCCAAGGGAGAAAGGAACGGTGCAACAGGTTAAAAGGACGAGGGTTGGGGGCAGGGGCGTGGCAGGGAGGAAGCAGAATTAAATAGGGTGTTCAAACTGGCTTCATCCAGAAGGGCAGACATGAGCACAGACTGAAGGAGGTGAGGGCAGGCAGAGGGTGCACCTGGAGCAAAGGTCCTCAGGGGAAGCACGCCTACGTGATCAGGAACAGCAAGATGGTGCGTAGGCTTGTGCACAAGGAAGGCAGGACAGCAGATGTGTGATTAAGAGAAAATGCAAGGCCTTGTAAGCCACTGGAAGGCCTCTGGGCTCCTTCTCTGAGTGAAATGCAGTACCACTGTAGAAAGTATGACATGATCTGATATACTTTAAAAGGATCATTTTGGATTCAGCACTGAGGATATGTTGCAGGAAGGTAAGGGAAAAGCGGAGAGACCCTATTAGATTCTTCTAATAATCTGGTAACAGAAGTTATTGAAGATGGTGTGGCAGATAAAAGCACTCAGGCTGATCTTAGAGGTATGCATTACAGGTATCCCCCCCTCCCTTCCCAAAGTCTGCATTCCACCACTCCACCACTTCGTTTTTACGAAAGATCTACATTTGTACCTGGTTTTGATAAGCAAAAGAAATCCAAAGAGGATTTCCGCTTTTAGGAAAAAGGGCAAAAAGCGAAAATAGCATTCACCATTTGTTTTGCCAAAGCTGTTACAGAGGCAGCTCGTACCCCAAGCCCAGCCCTGAGAGTGCCACCAAGCCCCCTGCCAGAGAGCCATACTCAGCCTCTCAGCATCAGGACTCCAGAGCCTAGAACTGTGTCTGTGAGCACCTGGGCTTTATCTGCATTTATTTTGTGCATCTGTTAGCAAGATGTGTCCTAAGGTCTCAGAAAAGCTTAAAGAGGTTATTTTTTGAGTCTAGGAATGCTAAAAAAATTTTCCATATAAATTCATGGTAATTTGCTGTTTCGCTTTGCCCCATTTCGGCTTACAAAAGAGTTCACAGAAACACTCTACTTTCAGAGAGTAGAGGAAAACTGTATCTCAGGTCCGTCCATATATACTTCTAAAGTGTTAGAGTGGCGCCAGAGATGAAGGGGCATATAAGGTAACATTTAAAGACAAATCAAGGGGCGCTTGGGTGGCTCAGTCGTTAAGCATCTGCCTTCAGCTTAGGTCATGATCCCAGGGTCCTGGGATCGAGCCCTGCATCGGGCTCCCTGCTCAGCGGGGAGTCTGCTTCTCCCTGTCCCTCTGCCCCTGCTTGTGTTCCCTCTCACGCTGTTTCTCTCTCTCTCAAATAAATAAAATCTTTTTAAAAAAATAATAAATAAAGACAAATCAAGGCATCACCTAGGCTCCCTTAACTGCTACGACAATGTAACCCATTCTGCAGTAAACCACACTTGCCACCTTGCGAATCCCACCAATGAGAAATGAGTGACCATATGTGCTGAACAGCTGCCCTCTGAGACAAGGCAGTGGACTGTGTAAAGCGGTGGCCAAGCAACCCCCCACAGCACACGGCAGCCCACACTCACATCCTTCCCCAAATGCCGGGCACTCACGGTGTAGCAGCAGTGCTCAGTGATGATGACCCGGTTAGAAAAGGTTTCATTGTGGGCCTCAATGTGCAAAGTACGTTCCCGAGAATTCAGTGAGTTTTTCTGGACAAAATAAACATAATCAACTCCCGCAATCTTTAGAAAACAAAATAAAGAGAAAAAGGGCTTATTAATAATACCAAATGCAACAGAAGCTGTGAACGTAACTTCATCTAGTTTGGGGATGGTCTTTCTAAGGTGTCCCCACAGGTACCTTTTTCAGTAGCCTTGGTGCATCTATGTCCAGCTTACAGCGCCTTTCTATAACGTGAATAGCCCCGTCTTCACTCTTGAACTCATTCACAGTGTCACTGTCCACAAACATCGGAATCAAAGGACATGTAGGAAACCTCCTTTCATAGGCCTACAAAAAAAATTTTTTTAAAAAGTAATTGAACAAAGATGCAATCTGACAGTTTGTCATTGATAGTCTCCCTGGAAAAAAAGCATCTCTTAACACATGTCAACATGTTACGTCAGAGTCATCTTTCTCTTTACATCATAAGCTTTCATTAAAAAAGAAAAAGACATTCTATGTTCATGGATTAGAAGACTCAACGCAGTAAAGATGTCAACCCTTCCCATATGGATATAGAGGTTTAACATAATTCCTACAAAATCCCAGCAAGGCTTATTTTTTTAAAGCTACAGACAAGATTATTTTAAAATTGATATGGAAAGGCAGAAGAACAGAAATAGCTACAACAATTTTGAAAAAGAAGACCAAATTGGGAGGAATCACTCTACATGGTATGGTATTAGCAGGGACTACACACCTACAGTTATCCAGCTAATGGTACTGGCAGAGGGACAGACACAGAGGTCAGTGGACAGATTAGAGAGCCGTAAATTGACCCACACAAATATGCCCAACTCATTTTTGACAAAGGTGCAAAAGCAATTCAATGGAAGAAGTATAGCCTTTTTTTCAAAAAATATTACTGGAGAAACTGCACATCGACAGGCAAAAAAAAAAAAAAAAAAAAAAATGGAGCTCAACCTGAACCACACACCTTATATAAAAATTAACTCAAAATGGATCAAGGACTTAACCATTTTTGTAACCTTCTTGAAATGACACCACTATAGGGGCGCCTGGGGGGCTCAGTCAGTTGAGCGTCCAGCTCTTGGTTTCAGTTCAGGTCATGATCTCAGGGTCATGCGATTGAGCCCTGTGCTGGGTTCCACACTCAGCACAGAGTCTGCTTGGGATTCTCTCTCTCTCAATCTCTCCCTCTGCCCCTCCCCCCAAAATAAATGAATAAACTCTTAAAAAAAAGAAAGAAATGACACCACTATAGAAATGCAGAACAGATTAGTGGTTGCTGTGGGGTAAGGGCAGGGGGGATGTGGGTGTGACTGTAACAGGGTAACAAAGAAAGATACTTGGAAAATGTTCTGTATCTTCACTGCATCAACATCAGTATCCTGCTTCCGATGATGTTACTACAGTTTCCCAAAATGCTACCAGCGGGGGAAAATGGTTAAAGAGCACATGGCCTCTCTCCATATTATTCCTTATGAATAAAGTATTATTAATAAATCATGAATCTTCAATAATCTCAAAATAAAAAACTGAATTAAAAAAAATTTTCACTTGCTATATATAATTCATCCAAACTTTTAGAAGATGCACTCAGGCACCTGACTGAGTTTGCTGTGTAGTGTGTGGTGGTCCTTGAAGACAACTTTGCTGAAGACCTTGCTACATTCACACTAAAACCCAAGCTACCTAGCAGCTCACAGGGGTGCGTGAGCAGGAAACCATGGGACTCGGCATGACAAGTCCTGGGCTGTAAGAAGGAGCATAAAAAAGAAGCCCAGGGCTGGGCTCAGCAGTTCACTGAACTGATGCTCCTAATAAAGTGACAGACATCACTCCTCCATCGGGTTGTCCTAAAAATGGGGGGGGGGGGGCTGACTTCCCACCTTAATCACAACCAAGCACAGATTTAAGAAGAAATGTGCGGTGTTAAAAAGATGAATGAAAATCTGAAAGCAACATAGGCTGCTCTGATTTTACCTCTAACGAGGAGCGAGTGGTTTTGGGGCACCACCATACTAAAAACACCACCTTTCGTGGAGAAGTTTCCTGACGTTCCCCGTAAACAGGTGTGAAGTCTGAACAGAAGTAATACTCCGATCACAAGAAACGCACTGAAAACCCACTACAGCACCAGAGCCACCTATTAATCCCTCCACCTGGTTTTCACCAATCCCGTTCCAAAGTGATGCTCGATTCTCTGGTACATATCTCATCTCCTCACCATAACATCGCAGGGTTACACCAATCTGAACACTTTGGGCTGTGCTCCTGCCATCTACATGTTTACAGGATCCCACGCTAGGGAATGCGGGAGGGAGGGGAAATGAAGCAGACAGTTCAGGAAAGGGAGTCAGGGTAATATGAAAGCATACTAAGAATACCAAGGTATAAAGGCTTGAGGAGAAAGAACACCCTCAGCTTTGGAGAGTTGGTGGTTTGGGAAGGCTTCATGAAAGAGGAAGCACTGACATGGCCTCAAAGTGGGAAAGTCTGTCTGTCGTCAGCAAGGAGGGGAGATTTCCAGGAAAGAGAACCCAAGAACACAGTCTAAGGAAACAGGCACCCAAAGCTGGCAGAGGCGAGGGAATGGGAGTGTGACAAGGCAGGTCTCCACTGAGCACTGACCACATGGCCAGGCCCTGCAGGCACAGTGCTGGCCGCCCTGGAACTGACCTCCTCCACAGCAGATGGAGAAGGAGGGAACTCTACCATGTGACCAGAGTCGCCTCTTCAGAAAATTAATGACAGTCTTGCACAGGGCATCTGGAAAGGAGGCAAAATTTACATGACCACCAGTTATATTGGCTTTTTAAAATGTTTTTACTTTGGGAGTCAAAAACATATTCTTCATATTTACCTACTCCCCTCCTCCACTCAAATATATTCTGAATCCCATTACTGCTATAATCTTGATAAATCACACAATATTTGTCTCTTAATGCATTTTAAATAAATAACATTTAAGAAGTTTATCCAACTGCTCAGACAATACCACAGATAAATCTCAAGGAGGCCCTAAAATTTGTATTAAGCACTACATACATGAACAATTCTAGAAGAAAATTTGCTATCATTTGTTCTACAGATACTGAAAACCATCTAAACTAACTTCTAAATTGTAACACATTAAAACAAACAAACAAACAAAAAACCAAAACCTGGCTTTGTACATTGAGCACTATGACATACCAAAAAACTGAGAACACTAGGGCTTCAAACAAAACAATTCTTTTTAGGTTACATAAAGGGTAAAGCAAGTACTCACCAAGAAAAAATGTAAGCTAGGGTCTCTCCTATTGAAGGACCTATTAGATCATTTTCAACATACCCACAACATCTTTTAAACCCTTGAAATAGAGTGGTCAGCACAGGGCATTTCCCACAGAGCCTAGCCTTTAATTCAAAACACAGTACAAACTTTCCATTCCCTGTAAAGTCATCCAGCCAGGTAGACACCTGTACACACTCACTTGTACCTTGGCCAGGTGGCATTTCAAGTACCCAGGCTAGGAAGCATCTACCTTCCTCCCTCCACGGGCTGGTCTGCATCCGTCACCCTGCCCCAGATGCGTTACTCAGCCACAGCGCAGACACCAAGTCCCATTTTTCTTCACGTTGCTAAAACAATGTCACTGTTCAATAAACATTCTTTGAATTATGGAATAAAACCTTACTAAATAAACCAATGAATCCAGCTTTTTGTTTCTGTGCTCACTTACCTGGGCCAATCTTTCAGAAATATATAAGGTTAATGAATTCTGCATCCTTTTAGCACAGAAAACCCTAAATTTCTAGAGGGTTGTGGAAAAGGAAGACTGCAGAAAGCTTTAGTCTCTGAAACTGCTTACAGATAGCAGACCCCAGGTTTTCAGCACAAACTACAATCTATAAAGTTGCTACAAAAATAGAGGCATTCTAGTTTTATCCAAAGGAAGAGCCTAGAAGCAATGACATACCAGCAGTCACAAGAAACTTGGCGTCTAGATCCTGGTTTCTAAATACCACTCCCTACCACAAAGGAACGCGTGCACTGTGAAGAAGTGGCTGATTACAGGTCTGAGGGAAAGAAAGGTCAAGGGGAATCTGAAGTACTTATCAGAAATCTGAGGATGTGCTCAGGGACATGTCAAAAGGACACAGAGACTGGCCTGAAGGGGTTCCCCTCCCCAACTCTGGGGTCATTTGAGCACCAGAAAGAGAAAAGACACTAAAGCTTTATAAGCCACAGAGTGATACTCAAAAAAAATGGGCAGGGGAGGAAATCTCACAGGAAAATGTCACCTAATAACCACAAGAGTGAACGATACAATTAGAGAATCCCAGTAGTGCAAGCACTAATCCTCAGTTACGGGTTCAGACAAGGACCACCAACGGGCACTGCTGAGGGGGGCTGTTGGATGAGGTATCACAGTCTCACACTATCACCCTGCAGCTTACCATTACAAGGGGACAGAGGTGCCTTTACGTTGGAAAGATCTAGTAGATTATCACCTGGACCAAACAATTCAACTCAGGACCAACAACGGGACAGCCTGACAAGCTGATGGGATACAATGGAAGCACACACAGCCTACGCAGTCCTCACAACAAAATGGTGAGCCTGGAGTTCATCGTGAGGAAACAATCAGATAGGTCCAAGTTACAGAACATTGTACAAAACCATCAGCCTGGACTCTTAAAAATAAGTGAAAAATGCTAGTGTCTTGAAAGATGAACAGAAAATGCAGAGACCAATCAGAACAAAGGCAATTAAAGAGACAGGACCATCAAATGCACTGGCTCTTTGATTGGAATAATAATAGCTATACAGAATATTTAAGGAAATGTGACCATGCATCACACATTAAATAATACCCTTCTGTCAGTGTTAAATTTCTCGGGTGTGATAATGATGACCGTTAAGTAGAATTTCTCTTCTTAGGCAATACATGCGTTAGTATTTAGGGCAAAAGTGTTAAGATATACACAGCTTACTTTCAAACGGTTCTGTAAAATACATGCCATGTGTATGTGTGTGTGAGTGTATATGTAAGAAAGCAAGCAAATGTGCTCATTTATCTAAGTGGAACTGTATACAGGTATTCACTATACTTCCTCAATTTTTTTATTTAATTTTATTATTTTTTAAATATTTTATTTATTTATTTGAGAGAGAGAGAGAGCAAGTGAGCACAAGCAGGGGGGAAGAGGGAAAAGCAGGCTCCCCACCGAGCAGGGAGGCCGATGTGGGGCTCAATCCCAGGACCGAGATTGAGACCTGAGCTGAAGGCAGACGCTCAACCAACTGAGCCACGCAGGCGCCCCACTTCCTCAATTTT